GTTGAAATTCGAATCCCCAGTACTCCAGAATGTGATGTTATTTGGGGATAGGGTATTTAACTGAGTTAAAATGATGTCGTTAGGTTGGGCCCTAATCCAATATAACTGATGCCCTTATTGAAAAGGGTAATTTGGACACAGAGACATACATAGAAGGAAGACAATGTGAAGAGACATAGAGAGAAAGCCATCTACAAGCCCAGGAGAAAGGCCTGGAACTGATCTTTTCCTAATAGTCCTCAGAAAGAAACAACCCTACCAATACCTTGAGAATTTGGACTTCTAGCCTCCAGAACTGTAAGAAAATACATTTCTGTTGTTTAAATCATCCAGTCTGTGGTACTTTATTATAGCAGCCCTACCAAACAAACACACCTTCTTTTGTTACTTTAAATATATATTTATTTTAGTCTATGCCTGATAGCTTCAATATCTGAAGTTTTATAGGTTTGACTCTATTTGTTTGTTGTTTCTTATGAATCTTGCTAATAGTGTCTTGTTTTCTTGTGTGCTTTGTGATTTTTTTTTCCACTATGGGTTCCTAAATCTTGGGATTTTATCTGTGAGTTGAAAGGTGGTTTACACCAAAGTAGATTTATGTTTACTTCTCTCAGGCACCTGGGGTCGCTACAATCTGGGATTATTTAAGGTAAATTCTTGAGATGTTTTGGGGTTACATTGAAGATGGGATACATTGGAGATGTGATTTGAGGCTGCAAAGAAGCATGAAGGCAGATATCTCTCTGTCTCAGGGCTTTTGTACTTCCTATTCCTTCTGCCTGGCAAGCCCTACTTCAAACACTCCCTCATTCCCTTCGGATCTCTCTGTTCAAATGGCACCCTATCATTGAGGCCTTCCCTGCCCACCCACATCCACAGGTGACTCCTTGTTCCCCTATCTTGCTCTGCTTTCATCCATACCACTTAAGCATTTATCACCAGAGGATGAATATATATATATATATGCATATATATATATATCACCAAAGGATAAAAAGTATATCTACATACATCACTTTTTATTATCTGTCTTCACAAACAGTGACAATTTTATCTACTTTGTTCACTGCAGAATCCTCAAAATAATGTCTGCCATGTAGTACATGCTCTATAAAATTTCATTGAACATGAAGAAACAACATTCATCCACACTCTAGGACACTTTTAGGAAACCCCCCATTGTTGCTATGGCTTGCTGAAAGGCACTGACTTCAGAGGAGACCAGACCTCAGAAGCTTGACCACAGCAACCTCAACAAAAACAGACAATTCACTGTCTCAGTCCACTACGTCTGCTATAACAAATATATCATGAACTGGGTAACTTAGAAACAACAGAAGTTTATTTCTCACAGTTCTGAAGTCTGGGAAGTCCAAGATCAAGGAACCAGCAGATTTGGTGTCTAGTAAGAGCCCATTCCTCACTGATGGCATCTTCTTGCTGCATCCTCACATGGTGAAAAGGGCAAACAAGCTCTCTCAGGCCTCTTTTATAAGGGTACTAATCCCACTCATGCAGACAAAACCCTCATGATCTGATCATCTCCCAAAGGCCCTACTTTCTAATAACATAACCTTGGTGATTAGGTTTCAACATATGAATTTTGGGAGCACACAAACATTCAAACAATAACATCCACTATTTCCTCCCCTTCAGCTTGAGAACATCTGTCAAACCAAGAGTACTCAAGCTGCAATTTTCAAGAACATGGCCTGTTTAAGAAAGGCAAAGACTGGCCGGGTGCTGTGGCTCACGCCTGTAATCCTAGCTCTTGGGAGGCCGAGGTGGGCGGATTGCTCAAGGTCAGGAGTTCAAAACCAGCCTGAGCAAGAGCGAGACCCCGTCTACTATAATAGAAAGAAATTAATTGGCCAACTGATATATATATAAAAAATTAGCCGGGCATGGTGGCGCATGCCTGTAGTCCCAGCTACTCGGGAGGCTGAGGCAGGAGGATCGCTTGAGCCCAGGAGTTTGAGGTTGCTGTGAGCTAGGCTGACGCCATGGCACTCACTCTAGCCTGGACAACAAAGTGAGACTCTGTCTCAAAAAAAAAAAAAAAAAAGAAAGGCAAAGACTGCTGACATCAGTCTAGGAACAAAACAGCTTCACTTTGAAGGAAAGCATACACTAGAAATAAAACTGCCTCTACCCAAGGGACTGTGCTACAGTTTGAACGTGCCCCCTCCAAAACTCAGGCATCACCAATGTGATCATATTAAGAGGTGGGGCTATTAAAAGGTGATTAAGCCATGAGGGCTGCTTTCTTTTCTTTTTTTTTTTGAGACAGAGTCTCGCTTTGTTGCCCAGGCTAGAGTGAGTGCCGTGGTGTCAGCCTAGCTCACAGCAACCTTAAACTCCTGGGCTCAAGCAATCCTGCTGCCTCAGCCTCCCGAGTAGCTGGGACTACAGGCATGCGCCACCATGCCCGGCTAATTTTTCTTATTATATTAGTTGCCAATTAATTTCTTTCTATTTATAGTAGAGACGGGTCTCGCTCTTGCTCAGGGTGGTTTCGAACTCCTGACCTCGAGCAATCCGCCCGCCTCGGCCTCCCAGAGTGCTAGGATTACAGGCGTGAGCCACCGCACCCGGCCAGGGCTGCTTTCTTGTTAATGGATTAATGCCCTTTAAATTTTTTTTTTTTTGAGACAGAGTCTCACTTTGTTGCCCAGGCTAGAGTGAGTGCCGTGGCATCAGCCTCGCTCACAGCAACCTCAGACTCCTGGGCTCAGCAATCCTACTGCCTCAGCCTCCCGAGTAGCTGGGACTACAGGCATCGCGCCACCATGCCGGCTAATTTTTTTGTAAATATTTTTAGTTGTCAATTAATTTCTTTCTATTTTTTTTGGTAGAGACGGGGTCTCGCTCAGGCTGGTTTCGAACTCCTGACCTTGAGCAATCCGCCCACCTCAGCCTCCCAGAGTGCTAGGATTACAGGCGTGAGCCACCGCGCCCGGCTAAATTTTTTTCAATATATTTTTTAATTTTTTTAGAAGTGAGGTCTTGCTATGTGGCTTAGGCTGGAGTGCAGTGGCTATTCACAGGTGTGATCATAGTGCACTGCAGCCTCAAACTCCTGACCTCAAGTGATCCTCCTGCCTCAGCCTCCCAAGAAGCTGGGAGTACAGGTACATGCCACTGCACCTAGCTTCTTTTTAAAAATTCTGGCCCTTTTAAAAGAGGCTTTACTCAGCATTTGGTTAGCTTGTTAGCTTGTTAGCTTGCTCTTCTTCCTTCCTTCCTTCAACCATGTGAGGACACAGCAAGAAGGCCCTCATCAGACCAAATGCCAGTGCCTTGATCTTGGACTTCCCAAACTCTGGAACTGTGAGAAATAAATCTCTGTTCTTCATAAATTACCCAGTATCAGGTATTCTATTATAGCAGCACGAAAAAGACTAAAACAAACTACAAGTGAACTTATGTATCTAAAATCTTGGCATTGAATAGAAAGGTAAAAAAGTCCTCTGAACATGTATAGCCATAGGCCTGCCATCATGCTTCTTTGCAGCCTCAAATCTCATTTCCCAGGTATTATGAATTATCAAGATTTGGATATCAGAATTAGGTTTAGATTCCTAAACCTTTAGGAAAACACTTTAGAGGAGCTCCTCTGTTTGCTATGCTCTGAAACAGAATTAACACATCCAAAACAGTGCAAAGGAACTCAGGACCACCTGATGAAAAGTTAAAAGACATAAAAGCACCTGTAATCCCAGCTACTTGGGAGGTTGAGGCAGGAGGATCCCTTAGCCCAGGAGTTTGAGATTACTGTGAGCTAGGCTGATGCCATGGCACCCTAGCCCGGGTGACAGAGTGAGACTCTGTCTCAAAAAAAAAAAAAAAAAAAAGCAATGAAAATAAGACACACAATAGGAAATATACTGGGAGACCTAAGACCAAATAGATCAGTCATATTTACAAACAAAATTGAGCTAAACAGTAGAGTTTACCTACTGAAAAAAGAATACTCTCAGATTGGACCACAAATGGCTAAAGTAGTTCTCAGATTAAAATACACAGCCCAAAATACACCTATAATAAATCAGACAGTGTTTGATTAATTAAATTACACCTTCAACTAAAGAAGTTAGAAAAATAAAAAGCAGAAAAGCAGATGGAAGAATTTTAATGAAATAAAACCATAAGTGAATGAATTAGAAAATGGAAAAATAATATAAATGCAAGAATTGGTCTACAGGTAGTTGGGGAAGTAAAACAAATAAAACATTAGCATTACTTTACTTAAATGAAGAAAAAGAAATCACAAATACACTCTATGAGAAACGATACTGGAAAAACAACCACAGATATAAAGTAAATTAACCATGAGACTACTTTGCTCAAAATTATGCAAATATATTAAGAACCTTGAAGAAATAAATGATTTTTTAAATTACATATATCTATATCTATATATTAATATAGCAATAGATATGTATTATATAAATTATATAGTACATATATAATTTATTTTTTTATTTTATTTATTTATTTTTTTTTTTTTGAGACAGTCTCATTTCTGTTGCCCTGGCTGGAGTGCCGTGGCTTCAGCTTAGCTCACAGCAACCTCAAACTCCCGGGCTCAAGTGATCCTCCTGCTTCAGCCTCCCAAGTAGCTGGGACTACAAGCATGCACCACCATGCCTGGCTAATATATATATATATATATATATTTTTAGTTAGCCAATTAATTTATTTCTATTTATAGTAGAGATGGGGTCTCACTTTTGCTCAGGCTGGTCTCGAACTCCTGACCTTGAGCAATCCACCTGCCTCTGCCTCCCAGAGTGCTAGGATTACAGGCGTGAGCCACTGCGCCCAGCCTATATAGTACATATATAATTTAAACAGAAAAAATATGATGGAAAAAAGAGAGAAAGATAATAAAGAGATACCCTTCAAATAATGTACCACACCCAGATAAACTCACAGGAGAATTCTATAAAACATTTAAGGACCAGGCAATACCAAAGCAATGCTAATTGTTCCAGACACATTTATTCTATGAAGGGAGCCAAGATAATTTGAGGGTGAGTAAATTGATTCCATATTTATTGTGTTGAAAACACTCTGAGGGCCTAACCAGATCATTCTGTGGAGGGGTAATCAGAATACTGAGAAATATATGAGTCTATTCTACAGCTGAGAAATTGCCGCATTTTTTCATGTCCAACATATCCATAGGATTTCTGTTCAATGTGAGTTTTCCCATTCACGATGAGGTCTGACTGCTGTGAAAAAGCTTTCCCACAATCAGTACATATATAAGGTTTCTCTTCTAGATGGATTCTGATGTCCAGTGAGGTATACATGCTGGCAGAAGGCCTTCGCACTGTCACTGCATTTGGAAGTTTTCTCCCCAGTGTGTGTTCTCTGATATGTGATCATCTGTGATTTCCAGGAAAAGGTCATCCCATACTCAGCACATTCAGAGGGTTTCTCCTTAGTATGGGTTCTCTGGTGAATAATGAGTGGAGACTTCTCCCAGAAGGCCTTTCCACATTACTACATTCATATGGTTTCTCTCCAGTATGAGCTCTCTGATGTATAATGAGATGTGACTTCAGGGAAAAGGCCCTCCCACACTCAGCACATTCATAGGGTTTCTCCCCTGTGTGAATTCTCTGATGAATAACAAGGGGTGATTTCTGGGAGAAGATTTTGCCACATTCTCTACACTCATAGGGTTTCTGCCCTGTACGAATTCTCTGGTGTATAATAAGAGGTGATTTCTGAGAGAAGGATTTTCCATATTTAGTGCGCAAATAAGGTTTTTCTCCAGTATGAAGTCTTTGATGGCCAGTGAGGTGTGACTTCTGGGAAAAGGCCTTCCCACAGTCAGTACACACATAAGGTTTCTCTCCTGTATGAATTCTTTGATGTCCTATGAGGTGAGACTGCTAGCAGAAGGTTTTTCCACATTCACTACACTTATAAGGCTTCTCTCCAGTGTGCATTCTCTGATGTATGATGAGCTGAGTTTTCTGAGGGAAGGTCTTCCCACATTCAGTACATTCATAGGACTTCTCTCCATTATGAGTTATCTGGTGTACACAAAGATGAGATTTATCAGAAAAGGTTTTCCCACAGTCACTGCATTCAAAGGGCTTCTCTCTGGTATGAACTCGCTGATGTATAATGAGATGTGACTTCTGGGAAAAGGCTTTTGGACACTCAAAACATTTGTAAGGTTTCCCTTGGCCCTTCCACACTCAGTACATTCATAGGGTTTCTCCCTAGTATGAATCCTCTGATGGACAATGAGGTGTGATTTTTAACTGAAGGCTTTCCCACAATCTCCACATGCATATGGTTTCTCTCCAGTATGAATTCTTTGATGTACAACAAACTGTGACTTCTTGATAAAGCCCTTCTCACACACACTACAAACATTGAGTTTCTCTCTGGCTTGAACTTTTTTATACTGAATATGGGCTTGCTTATTATGAAGAACTTTTTCATATTCACTCTCTCCACAGGGCTTTATTCCAATATGAATGAAGCCTTCATTCTCAGGCACAGAACAGAAGGCACTATAGCCAGGTGGCCTTCCACATCCAAATCTCTCAATGGAGTTCTTTCTTGCATAGTTCCTATCACAATTTTGTGAGTCTAAATTAGATTTTAAGTTCTTCTAACATAAATCAAAATTATGGAGCTTTTTACTTGAAGGATCAAGGTCTGTGTACCCATTGAACATTTTTCCAAATGCATTATACTCAGGGCCTGTCTCCTCAGCCAATGTTTCATGGATGATGGCTGTGACCTGCCTCAAAACTCTGTCTTTGTTTCCTTGATAATTATCTATTTGATTACCAATATGCCAAACTTTCAAAATAGAGTATAATAAATTATCCTTTGGGGTTCTTTCTATTATCTCCCTTTGAGATGAAAGTTCTCCAGAAATGATCTCTTGGGTAGATTCAAGGCCTTTTTCCCTGTCTTAAATAAGAAGAAAGAGGTAAAATCAAACACACACACACACACACACACACACACACACACACACACAAAACAGTTGGCAATGGACAGAGACACTAGGAAAGTGGCTATTGTAGGATGGGTGTTATAAAGGAGGACTTCATAAATTTTAAGGAAGCAAGGAGGCCATCAATGTCAGAGAAGAAGAAGAAGAAGCCATCTTGGCCATCTACACAATGCTCACTTACCTGGACAGATCCACCTTGACAACTCACTCTCTATAATCCACGGGGCTTCTCCATGTTCTAACTTAATTATTGCATCTGGTTTTATACATGAACACCCTGTTAAGAGAAAATTATAATGGTCTTGGCCTTGGCAGCTCAGAAATTCATGAAAAAAGGAAGCAATTTCAGGGACCTCCCAGCAAAGATGGATCCTTAACTCATACCATAAACAAAAATAAATTCCAGATATAAAAAAATACAAACTAAAAAACTAAAACAATAAAAGAAAACACTCTGTTAAGGAAAAATCATAAATCTTATGGACTTGAAAGCTCTGAAGGAAGGATGAGGAGGATTTGATTCATTGGTACACAAGGAATCTGTCCTTACCCACTGAGACCAGGTGACTATAGGTCTCCAGCATCACATCCCTGTGGAGGGTCTTCTGAGCTGAGTCCAGATGCTGCCACTCTTCTTGGGTGAAGGCCACAGCCACATCCTCAAATGTCACTGGTTCCTATAACAGCACACTCCCGTACAATCTGCTCATTATGATCATTTTTACCACGGCAAACATGTAGGATGCCTACTTTGCACATTTTGTAGTATACTTTATGAAAAAAACAATGTAAAATCCTGCCATTAGCAAGAATAGATAATAGAACAGAGCAGAGGGTCTAGAAATAGAGGCAAATAAAAATGGGAAATATATAATAAAGATAGCTTTTTAAATAAATGTGTAAAAAACAGATTCAAAACTGAAGAGCTACCAGAAAAAAATGTAATGTTGAGCTCCCTACCTCATACTATCCAGAAAAATTAATTTGAGATACAACAAAATTTTAAACAAAGAAATGTAGAAACCAAAAAAGTCAGGAGTCGGAAACCAGCCTGAGCAAGAGGGAGACCCCATCTCTAATAAACATACAAAGAAATTAATTAGCCAACTAAACATATACAGAAAAAACTAGCCAGGCATGGTGGCGCATGCCTGTAGTCCCAGCTCCTCAGGAGGCTGAGGCAGGAGGATCGCTTGAGCCCAGGAGTTTGAGGTTGCTGTGAGCTAGGCTGACGCCACGGCATTCGAGCCCAGGCAACACAGTGAGACTCTGTCTCAAAAAGAAGAAACCCAGATTGTGCTTGCTTTGGCAGCCTGTATGCTAAAATTGGAACAACAATACAGAGAAGAATAAGATTTTTAAAAATAATAAAAATGTAGGCCAGGCGCGGTGGCTCACACCTGTAATCCTAGCACTCTGAGGCCGAGCAGGTGGATTGCTCGAGGTCAGGAGTTAGAAACCAACCTGAGCAAGAGCGAGACCCCGTCTCTACTATAAATAGAAAGAAATTAATTGGCCAACTAATATATATAGAATAAATTAGCCAGGCATGGTGGCGCATGTCTGTAGTCCCAGTTACATGGGAGGCTGAGGCAGCAGGATTGCGTGAGCCAAAGAGTTTGAGGTTGCTGTGAGCTAGGCTCACTCTAGCCTGGGCAACAAAGCGAGACTCTGTCTCAAAAAAATATATAATAGGGGGGAGGAAGACGATGGCGGATGAGAAACACTGCCAGACAAAGTGTCTCTGCAGAAAAGACAGATTCTAGCAGAAATTAGAAAAAAGAGCAAGAAGACGAGCATACAGCGGACGAGGGCCGGAAGGAGGGGTACCTGAGACCCCGGGAGACTCCACGGGAGGAGGCTGGGAGGAGAACTGGAAGATGAGACCGCCGGAGCAGCCCGGAGACCAGGGGGAAGGGTAGGTGATGTGCTGTTTCCCCTCCCTTGCATCTGGGACTGCTGGTGGGCTCCCCAACGGGTGGAGAGACCTGCAAACACCAGCCCAGAGACAGCCGCCGCCAGCTATCGGTGAGCCTGTTGCGGACGCAGCACCAGCCTCCCAAATCCCTCAGGGCACCTCCGTGTGCACAGACCCGAGCCACGCGGCAGACGCCATATTGCCTCCTCCTCCCCTCCCCCGACCCTACCCTCGGCTGCCCAAAGAGACAATATAGTCACCAGCCGGAGGAACCTCCAGGGAATGGGACCTTCCCTTTTGGGACCCTACAGCTGACTAAGGGGAACTCACACTGTAGGCTCCCTACCCGCCAGCCCTCCCAGGAGCTGCTGGTCCTGTGATCCAAGGAGAAAGGTGCAGACCCTGAGGCTGAGAGACATAGACCCAGCTTGGGCCCCCTGTGGGTGAATTGGGACCAGCACTCCTCTCCCTGGTGGAAATACAGTTTGAACTATAGGACCCAGAGGTCAGACCTGCAGACAAAGATCCCATGACCCGAGATCTCACATTGCCCGGGGCACAGAAGGGATATATGTGAACAGCCTACTGAGGTGTGTGTGCCTTGACGGGCAGATCAGCGTCATATAGGGCAACCCTCTTCCCAAAAGGAGGCCGTATGCTCAGCCCAGGTAGCGTACCTAGGCAGGGAACCTCCCTGCCGGCATCAGAGTCCGGGGAGGCCTGGTGGCGTGTGGTCTGGCCTGCTGGCAGAGGCCCAGGAGTAGCTGCGGAGTTAGGGAGTGTGGAAAGAAGTGAGGCCCGCTCCAGACTGTGGGTCTCAGACAGCCCCACCCCCACACCCAGACTTTCTGGCTGAGTGGGACCATTCCAGCCCCTCCCTGACAGCGTTTCCTGGAAGCAGAGAACAGAACTTTGACCCCTGCTAACAGCATTGGTGGTGCCTGAGGGCAGGCTTACCCAACCCAGCTCCACTGAGACTCTCTCAAAGACCAGTCCTCTCTGAGGGGGAGAAAAGGACACACCTGGAAGTCCCAGGGCCCCACCGACCACCTGAGGCACTAGAGTGCCTCCCTACAGGAACAAGAGCTGATAACAGAAGGCAAAAATTACAGCGTAGCCTGTTCCTCCAAGCAAGCGCCACCTACTGACAGGAAGGGCATCCAGCACAGCCTTTTCACAGCACCTACTGATTCACTATACAGGGAGTGGTCGAATCTTACCCACAGATACCACCTACCGGCTCAGAAACTAAACAAGGTGTGTGAATACCCAAACAAAATCCTAAAGGAAAGAAACAACAACTGATCAACAGGCGAAGAAATCAGCGAAGGAACTCCGGAAATATGAAGAACCAAATGGAAAACACACCCCCAAAGAGGAGCACCAGCCCCCTAGAAAAGGACACCAACCAAAATCAGGCAACCAAAATGACAGAAGAGGAATTTCGTATGTGGATCATAAGAACACTTACCGACCTGCAATAACAACTCAATAACCAACACAAAGCAACCACAAAAAGCCTCCAGGATCTAGAAAAAAAGGTCACTAAAGAAATAGCCACAATGAAGAAAAGTATAACCGAACTCCTGGAAATGAAGAATCAATTCAGGGAACTACAAAATACAGTGGAAACTCTCAAGAACAGGGTAGATCAAACAGAAGAAAGAATCTCAGAGATTGAAGATAACACCCTCCAACTAAATAAAACTGTCACAGAGATAGAGCAGAGAAACAAGAGAAAAGAGCAAAGCCTACAAGAGATGTGAGATTATGTGAAGAAACCTAATGTGAGGGTCATAAGGTTACCAGAAAGGGAAGAAGACAACACTCAAGGGTTGGACAAGCTATTTGAAGTTATAATAGATGAAAATTTCCCAGGCCTTGCTCAAAATCTCAATATACAAGTTGAAGAAGTTCAGAGGACCCCTGAGAGATTCAATGCAAATAGAGAAGAGTCACGACATGCAGTCATTCCGACTGACCAAATATCAACTAAAGAAGCCCTTCTAAGAGCTGTAAGATGAAAGAAGCAAGTAACATACAAGGGAAAGCCAATTCGAATAACACCAGACTTCTCTAATGAGACTTTACAAGCAAGGAGAGACTGGGGCCCCATTCTCACTCTTCTGAAACAAAACAATGCCCAGCCTAGAATCTTATTCCTGCAAAACTAAGCTTCATATATGAAGGAGAAATAAAGACATTCTCAGACAAGCAAAGTCTCAGAGAATTCACCAAGACAAGACCAGCCCTACAAGAAGTACTCGAAACAGTATTATACATGGAACACCATAATAAAAACTCACAAATATAAAAACGACCAAAATCCAAAGATCAAAGGCCAGATATACATGGCTCAAGAGAGAAAATCAAAGCAACACATTCCAACCCAACAGAATGACAGCAATCTACCTTACCTATCAGTTCTCTCAATAAATGTGAATGGCTTCTAAACTCTCCACTCAAGAGACATAGCTGGCTGAATGGATAAAAAATACAGGCCAATATATGTTGTCTCAGGAAACAACATCTAACCTGCAAGGATGATATATAGACTAAAGTAAAAGGTGGAGTCAGTATTCCAGGCAAGTGGAACCAAAAGAAGGCTGGCGTGGCAGATCTAATTGTCAGATGATTTAGTTTTTAAACAACAAAAGTAGTAAAAGAAAAGAGGGTCATATATAATTGGTGAAGGGCACACTTCACAAGAAGAGATAACAATTTAAATATATATGCACCCAACTTAGGTGTACCCAGTTTCATAAGCAAACCTTACTGGATCTAAGAAATGGGATTAATAGCAACTCCATAATCACCGGAGATTTCAACACCCCCACTGACGGCCAAGACAGTCCTCCAAACAGAAAAATTAATAAAGAAATAATGGACTTAAACAAAACCCTGGAACAACTGGGTCTGACTGACATCTACAGGACATTCTACCACAAATCCATTGAATATACGTTCTTCTCATCAGCTCACGGGACATTCTCTAAGATTGACCATATCCTAGGACACAAAATAAATCTCAAGAAATTTTAAAAAATAGAAATCATACCATGTACCTTCTCGGATCACAGTGGAATAAATAGAAATAAACCCTAACAGAAACTACATTTCTACACAAAACGTGGAAATTAAACAACTCCTACTAAATGATTACTTCATAAATGAAGAAATCAAGATGGAAATAAAAATTCTATGAAGAATGCTATGGAGAGACAAGTTGTCAAATCCTCTGGGACACAGCTAAAGCAGTTCTGAGAGGAAAGTTTATCTCCATGAATGCCTATAACCAAAAGACAAACAGATCACAAATAGGCAATTTAACGAAACAACTCAAAGAGCTGGAAAAAGAAGAACAGATCAACCTCAAACCACAGAAGAGGAAACTTAACAAGATCAAATCAGAACTAAATGAAATTGAAAACAGGGAACTATTCAGGAGATTAATAAAAAAAAAGTTGGTTCTTTGAAAAATAAACAAAATTACACACCATTGGCTAAGCTCAAAAAGCAGAAAGAGAGTCTAATAAGCTCCATCAGGAACAAAAGGGAGTATCACAACTGATCCAAAGGAGATACAAGATATTTAATGAATACTCAAAAATCTTTATGCACACAACTAGGTAAAATGTGGAGAAAGTACAATTTCTAGAAATGCACAGCCTCCTATGATCCAGGTAGAATAGATTCCCTAACAACCAATCTCAAGAGTCTAAATAGAACAGCAATTAAAAATCTCCCTAAAAGAAAAGTTCCGGATCCAGGATGGTTTCACACCCAAATTTTACCACACTTACAAGGAAGAAGTGCATGCAGAACTCAAACATCAGAAGAACAGAAACGCTCCCCGACACCATTTTGGAGGAAAACCTTCCAAACTAGGAAAGGATGAAAA